CCATTTAATGTAAAGATACAGCTCAATTAACAAGAACTCCTTTGCACCATCCTATGCCTAAGAAATCAACAAACATTTTCAGAGCCTACATAGCAGTCCAGCTGGGCAGTAAAGGGCCAATTTTAAAGTCAGTTTCAGGATTAGCCAGAGCCTGCTCACTGTTCCTTTATTCTGTAGTTTATCATTTATAAACGGGACTGGCGGTGAGGCCTGTGAAGACTAAATCTAACCAGGCATGTACAACCCGGAGCACAAGAGAACTAGACAGATACAAATACTGTTAGCCCCTGCTCCTCCATCTTTCTGACTCCCTACCTTCATAACAACCAAGCAGACACAAGTGACTTAACTAGCGCCACAGTGTGCTACACCTGCCCGTGGCCTCTTGCAGGGTACACGGCAAAGCTGCAAGCCTGAAGTATTCTAATTGCTTTCCGTCTGTGGAGCTGTGGAGAGATGAGATAGGTGGGGGGTTTGAGGGGCCTACCACCCCGTTCCATAGCCAGACATCCTAGTTATCTCCTTGAACTGCTGAGACCTTTCACACAGATCTGCACGATGGTGCAGAAGGAAGTCTTAGTCATCTCTTGCTCCCTTCATTAAGGCCTGAAGCTTGTGTCCTGCACCACGGCAGCCCATCTCTGGCCATTAGTCCTCCTCTCCTGTTCATCCTCATCCACTTGCATGACACGTACCACACACACAGTACGCGTCAGTCACACTTTACAAACACAGCCTCTAACTCGAGGGGGTTCTTACATAATCTTTTGTACAAAGCCCTGACCTTGTAACAGCTGATACTGACCTTCAGTGGCTCTCTGCTCTGCAGAAAGCAGCAATCTGCAGTTAGAGGTTCTGACTCAGATGACTTGTGTGGGCTGGATGTCATTCTGATCCCATGATCCCAGCACTTTGGAGGCTGAGGCAAAGGATTGGGAATTCCAGGCCAAACTAGGCATAAATAATCCTGTCTCTAAAACTAGTGGTACAAACTTGTCACAACTGCACTCAGGAGGTGGAGGCAGGAAGATCAGGAATTCAAGGTCATCCTCAACTACTCTTAGCCAGTTCAAAGCCAGCCTGGGCTATATAACACCCTGTCGCATCAGCCTACAACCCATCCTCACTTCCTGGGACTCATATAGTAGAAGAATCAATTCCTTCAAGCTGTTCTCTAACCTCCACACAAATGCTGTGGGATACACACAAGCACAGGTACACACTTAAATGTAATTTTAAAAATTAAAGTTAAAGCCAGATGCGGTGGCACACACCATTAATCTCAGCACTCAGGAGGCAGAAACAGGTGGATCTCTTGTCTACAAAAGTGAGCTACATAGTGAGACCCCCATACAGGGAAGATTAAAAAAAAAAAAAAAAAGCCAGGCGGTGGTGGCGCACGCCTTTAATCCCAGCACTTGGTAGGCAGAGGCAGGCAGATCTCCGAGTTCGAGAGTTCAAGGCTAGCCTCGTCTACAGAGTGAGTTCCAGCTACACAGACCCTGTCTCGAAAAAACCAAACCCCCCCCCCAAAAAAAGTGTGGTGTCACACACCTGTAATCCCAGTATTATCACCAGGGCAGGCATTCCCAGGCCATAGTACCCTAGATCCACATGAAGACCCAAGTGTTTCGACATCTGCCCCTTCTTGGACGTGGGGGATCCCTCCTTGCCTTCTGTGGGTTCTCCATACTGCCCACAATGATAGCTTGTGGCCCGTTCATTTATCTGCAAAGCCAGCAACATTAAATCCTGTTCATCATGCCCAGGAAAGGCTCTCTGAAGAACTTGCATCAGTCAGCGGCTGCCAGGTCACCTAGGAAATGCCTATTTCAGCACCACTACTCACATGAAGTCCCTCGTCACGTCAGGACCACATTCACAGGGCCCAGGAGCCTAACATGCATACATCTTTGAGGGACCATTAAGTCACAGGGCTTGGTTTTATTTATTTTCCCCCAGTTTGTGTTGTGGGCCAGGCTGTCCTCAAACTCACAGACATCTGCCTGCCTATCTTCTGGATGCTGGGATTAAAGGCACACACCACAATGACCCAGCTCAATGAAGATTTCAAAGTGTCATCAATCACATCAGGTAGACATGCCCAAAGCTAGGAGAACCCACCACTAAACTAAGTGCAACAGAACTTCTGGTGATCTTTATAGGAGCAATCCCAATGAAATCAAAATTCTCACTAGGAACCAGGGAGGGCAGTCCATGCCTGAAACCCAGCACTTAAAAGGGGCCGGAGAATAAAATCCCAAGATGGGACCAGTCTGGTCTACATAGGAAGTTACAGACCAGCTTAAAAAGACCCTGTCTCAAAAATAAATAAATAAATAAACCCAAACCACAAAACAATCTGTGCTGGAGAAAGCTTAATTGTAGTGTTCAATTCCCAGTGCAAGGGTGTGTGTGTGTGTGGGGGGGAGAACCAAAGAAGTTTTTGTCTTTTGTATGTGTACACACTTGCATGTTACAGCACAGGCTCCAAGGATCACACTCAGGTCTGGTAGTACTTGCTGAGGCCATCTTGCCAACTCCCACAGGATCTCTCTACATAGCCATGACTATCCTGGAACTCACTTGATAAGACTCAAGGGATCCGCCTACCTCTGTTCCGCAAATAATGCTGAGATTACAGGTGTGTGCCATCAACTCCAGCACTGACTCTCAGTGTGCAAAAAATAGTATGTTTATGGGTTGGTGGGAATGATCTAGAAGAGTTAATGAAAAGAGCATCAGAGAAAGGCACTTAAATTTGAACCCTTTAATCAAATACGGGATGAAATTAAGTAGGTGGAAATGCTTCCCTTCAATTTAAAAAAAGTGAGGGGGCTGGAGAGATGGTTGGTGGTTAAGTGCTTTCGCAGGTTCACCAGAGGACCCACGTTTCTCAGCACCAGTTCCAGGGAATCCAGTTCTGCTTCTTGGTTTCCACGGATACCTGCACACATGTGGTACACACATACTCAAGCAGGCACATAGGCACATCCCTTTTCTAAATTCTAGAAATATAGAATGGGACCCTTTAAACAGGTGTGTTGGTAGAAGTACCACACATGCCCACCAGAGATGGAAAAGATGTATCAGGAACCTGTGTAGCTTCTTTTAAAGCTTTGGTAGTGCTGGGACACACTGGCCCGGCCACACTGTGGCAGTGAGAGTTTTCAGTAGCTGGTTCAAAGTGTCATTGTTGAGACTATCTGGCACCATCACAAGATAGCTAACCAGGGAGCTTCCAGATAGCTCTGCCTCTGCTTTCCATCTCTCCACAGGAGTGCTGGGATTACAAGTATCCATAGCATCCAGCTCTTTATTGTGGGCTGCAGGGATGAACTCAGCATTTATACTTGCCTTTTTACCTGCTGAGCTGTCTTCCAGGCTCCTTGTTTCTAGGTTTAAAAACCAATTAGAACTAAAGGAGGATGGGAAGGGCATTAAAGATGTAAGAGCCCCCAAGGAAAAAGAGCAAACAAGAGAGAGATGTGGCAAGTCGGAAAGACAGCACTAGGGTTGACATGGGCCATGAAACTTCAGACACACTGACATGGTCAGATGCATATCAGAGGAGGTAGTGTACTGAGCTTAACCAAAAAGAGTTTAGCCACAATGAAAAGACAAAGCATGCCACTTTCCTGTAAAGCCAAGAGCAATCAATCATCACAACCAAGCACAGAATCTAAGGGGGCTTATGCAAAGCACAAGGTTAACACCAAGCAATGGGACCCACAGCTTCTAAGTAGCACAGCACAAAGCTGTCCATTTTAACTGCTCACCAAGATGGTATTGGGTCTTGCCATAAAGCCCAGGGTAGTTTTGAACTCCCTGATCATTGTGTCCCCACCCAGAGTGCTTATATTTCAGATACTTACCATCATACCCAGCCTCTACCTGAAGCCAGACTTTTGGCTACTTTATGGGTTCCTTTCTCTATCACCCTTCTCCACCCCTTTTCCACCTTCCAAGCCCCAACACTAGGGAAAAGAAAACAGGGCATCGATATCATTAAGACTATTTCTTGCCGGGTGGTGGTGGCACACGCCTTTAATCCCAGCACTTGGGAGGCAGAGGCCAGCCTGGTCTACAGAGTGAGTTCTAGGACAGCCAGGGCTACACAGAGAAACCCTGTCTCGAAAAACCAAACAAAAACAACAAACAAAAAAAAGACTACTTCTTGATGATTAGAGGCAACAAGTTCCTTGGGGCAGGTTTGCTCCACTCAGAATACCCAATTTCTTCGCACGTTTCTTTACCCACAACCACTTGACAAACAGCAAAAGAGGTCACTAGGATCTACCATTTATATACCCTTTGAGAGTGACCCTAAAATTGCAAATGTCAAACACTTGCAGAAACTATCTGCAGCTGGTATAGTCACTCCCCTGCAAGAGCATGAAGCAAATCAAAGTCAGCTGTTGTGAACAATCTAAAGCAGTCTCATACCCCACATAGGGGATTAAAACATTCCTGTAACATGCGTTTTAAAAGAAACCAAAATTCTCACTACCACTATAACTGTTTCCTTTAGATTGAGGTTCTGGTTAAATTTGTTTACCAGTGACTAAAGAAAAATTCTATACGAGACATAAAGCAGCTAATTCTCCACTTTGAGTTTAGAGCTGGGGCAGTGGTGGCGCACGCCTTTAATGCCAGCACTCAGGAGGCAGAGGCAGATGGATGTCTGAGTTGGAGGCCAGCCTGGTCTACAACAAAGCAAGTTCCAGGACAGCCAGGGCTACCCAAAGAAACTCTGTCTTGCAAAACCTCCCCCACTCCGGGACCCCCAAAAAAGTTTAAATTGAAGTTGTAATGCCTTATGCAAACCTGTAACAAAAATGAATTCCTTAGAATGAGATTGGCCAGGTGCATCCTTACTAAATACCTCTCTCCACCTCCCTCAAGTATCCATTGACAATGGGACACAAATCAAACCTTGAAAATACCAAGCAGAGAAAGGAGAACAAACTGTTTGGGGATGGGGAAGAAATGCACAAAGAGCATGTAAAATATGTTTTATTGTTCTTCCAAAGGGTTCAGGGTTTGGTTGTGAATCAGGCTGCATACCTTCCAGCAGTCTGACCTCTCTCACAAGTCAAACTGGCTTCAGCTAGCAATATACTTCATTAAATCAAAAGAAAAAAGTTTTAATTTTGAGTGGGGAAAAAAAAAGTCCAGTTCTGAGAACAATTAACATTAGTCTTCTTTAAGACAAAGTAAGGGCTGCTTTATGTTCCTTTACACACCCCTCTCCTCCCCCAGAATCAAGAATGATACTCTGTCTCAGGCAGGCACTGATGCTGGGGGACACCTGCACAGACCCTCACAGGAGCTATTTTGCTCATGAACAAACACACACACACCAAAATTCTTAGCATGTCAAGTGGAAAAGGTTTGGGTGGTATTGATCAAAACCCTTGAGGAGTCACAGTCAACCTAAACTTATAAGAAATTTTGATCTTGAGTCTTTGTTAAAGAAATCTATTGTCATGCTCTGAGGTAAGAATTTTTAGATTATATCATCATTTTTTACTTTAAAATTCTAGAAACAGTGCCAAAAGCATTATTTTTCATTTTCTGGGATGAGGCAAGGACTACATATTTCCATTTAGTTAGAAATCAGAACAATTCCATCAACAGTAAACAGGCAGCTCAGAAAGCTGCCACCATCTGTAGTATTGTCAACGACATGTCATCCATCCCACTGGCCTGACTGACACGAACAAAATCAAAACGGAAGCTTATGGCTCTGCACAATAACATCCAGTGGGACAAGACAACTGAAGGCCTGCCCTCGAGGCTTGTAGCAGGGTACTGTCAAGTATGGAACGTTTGGATGAAGAGGGTACAAGGAGGTGCCCCTCCATCTGCTTTGTCTGGTCAACTGCCTTCTGCAAATAAGGAAAATGCTTTTCTGTATCAACACACTGAGCAGAGAACCCACAACACTTCCACAGGCTGCCATGAACATGTGCTGTCACTGGGCTGTCTGCTGCTGCTCTCCCACCCCATTACAGCCTGTGGACCCATACTCACTGGGCAAAGCTGGTTCTGACAGTGATTTTTTTGTTTTATAATCTCAGAAGAATCTAGAAATAATGTGATAGATAGGTGATTACACTGAACTGCACAAATAAAGAGGAATTTGGAAAACCACCACCACAGGCATTTCTCAAGACCAAAACTCTCTGAATGTTCTGTAGCTCCTTTGACTATTTCTGAAGCCACTTTTCCATGACATTGTTAGCTAGCAGATCCACAGCCCACAGTTCTACACTTGTAGAAACATACTACCTCTCTTGGACACACTATCAGTGGCCTCCAGTCGTCACTGCAATAAAGTTTCTAGGAGGTCCACTCGTTTCTCTGTTGGGAAAAAGGATTCTCTCAGCTAAATACCAGGAGAAAGACTCAGTTTAGGATGTCATCTCCTCATCATTTACAAAACCAAAGGCTCCTGGCTACCTTTCACGCCCTAATGGTAGATCAGGGCTGCAAGGAAACAAAACAAAACAACAACAAAAAAAAACAACACACACCTAATATGAGCATCCATCCTCAATAAGACTGAACCCACCTGGACCGTGAATATATGCGCCACTGCTTTTTCTTTGCTTTTATTTTTTATTTATTTATTTTTTGGTTTTTTTTTTTTGTTCCCCCTAAAAGTGCCCAGGTGGGCTTAAGGCTGCCAGACACACGCACATCTACAGCAAAAAGGGCTTCTTTCTATTCCATCTACGTGGATCAGAAGGGAGGGGGGGCAGAGAGAGAGAAGATGGGGAAAATCTACCTCCCCCAAATCCCACCACAAAGAGACCCATGTGCCAAGCATGATGGAAGCGTGTGCTCCCAGCAACTGGACCACACTGGTTAATATTCTGCTGGTTTTCCTCAGACATCTATTTTGAAAAAGCTTAAAAAACACAGGAGATTTTGAAATAATTCAATCCTGGCAGAAATCAAAACTCCGAAACTAGGAGCAAAATCATCTTTCACTAAATTAATCCCTTTTCCTTTCTTTTTTTCTTTTCTTAAACATTTTATTCGTGTTATAGAGAGATTTCTTTATCGTTTGCCTTCTCAATCATTACGAGTTGAGGAGTACTGAATCCATCACTACTTTGATGACACAGGTAAGAATCCAGATTCACATTTCCAGGTACCAAGAGTTCCCTCTAATGCCACGATCCAGCCGGCCTTCCTCTACTTCTACTGAACACAGCAGTGTCCGTTGGTGTCTCTGAAGCGTAGTCGCATCTTAGGTCGGTATTTCTCCAAGTAAAGCAGCTGTTTGGAATTGAATGCTCCTCTTCTTTTTCTGAAAATGTAAGAACAGTGCATTGTCATGTAGCAAAGAGCTGCATAGCTTCCTGAAATGTACTATTTATAGAATGATGCCTTCTAGCTAGCTCACCCTAGCTGAAAGCCTGCATACTCCCCAGACCACATTACTTTAGAAAGCTGAAACAGGAACTTTTTTCCCTTTTTGTTTTCCAAGACGGATTTCTCTGTGTAGTGTTAGCTGTCCTGGAATTTGTGGTGTAAAGCGCTTGAACTCAGAATCCTCCTGCCTCTGCCTTCTTTCTCTGCCTGTTACTAGAATCTAACAAAAATCAACAGGGTTTTGAATACCAGATCACTCCTTCCTTTTAGATTAACAAGATTCTTCAGATCAGAATGACAAACAAGTATTAGGAGGCTTTAAAAAAATAAAAAAACAAGAATTAGAACATACAAAGACAAAGCCTCAGGTTCGGTACAGACGTAGATGCTTTAATTAATTATTTAATTATTAATTATTAAATTAAATTTAATTTAATTTATTTAATTAATTATTCAATTTAATTATTAAAGAAAGAACAGTATGGCCTATTATTTCAGACCAATGCCTGGACTGTCAGGATACTCCCAGTGTAACTGTGTATGAGAACAGGTCACTTGAGAATACCAAGTGATGACTGTTTCTCCGCGCATTGCTTTTGCCTGCTGGTTATATGGAACTGCACTGGTGCTACTATGAAATCCAATGAAAGCAGCACTGATCAATACACTCATTGGCAAGATTCCTAGACATCCAACCATATACTAACTGACATTGAAATCAGAACAATCCACAAATGCTAATAGTTTCCAGGCTTTGTCTCTTGCCTTAACCCTTTTTCCTATCTTCAAACAGTGTCTAAGGCCCAAAGCAGCCAGTGCTTGCATATTCCAAATGACTCCTTCCCATAACCTCTTCCTCACACACAGCCCCGCCTCAAGTTTCTGAACACACAGCTTCATACTCACTGTCTTATGAACTGAACAGCATCTTCATACTTCATTCCGCATTCAATCAACGCAAGTGCGACTAGCACAGGAGCCCTGCAGACAGAAACCATCCATAAGTATCCAGAAGCCTTTAGTTTAGTCTTTTAACTGAAAGCTTACACATAAACAACTTGAGCTTCTGTTGAGTGTGGTGGCATATATTCCTTTAATCCCTGCATTTGGAAGACAGGCAAATCTCTGAGTTCAAGGCCACTCTGAACTACACAATTAGTTCTGGGGCAGTCAGGACTACAAAATAAAAACCATGTCCCATTATTGAATGAATGAATGAATGAATGAATGAATGAATGAATGAATAAATATGCAAATGGGGACAGACAAGAACAAACAAGTTTTCTCCTCCAACTCAGTAACCTAATGTTTTCTTCTAAAACAAGGTCTCACCATGCAAAGCAGCCTGGCCTAACACACATGAGCTCTTCCCAATACCACTGTACTCAGCTTCTCAATTGTTTGTTTTTTGAGACAGGGTTTCTCTGTAACTCTGGCTGTCCTTGAACTCAGATATCCACCTGCTTCTGCTTCCTAAGTGCTGAGATTAAAGGAGTCTGCCACCACCATCCAGCTCTATTCTCTATTCTTGTTTTTTTTTCCGAGACAGGGTTTCTCTGTGTAGCCCTGGCTGTCCTGGAACTCACTCTGTAGACCAGGCTGACCTCAAACTCAGAAATCCGCCTGCCTCTGCTTCCCAAGTGCTGGGATTAAAGGCGTGCGTGTGCCACCACTGCCCGGCCTCTATGTTTTAAAAGCACATTAATAGAGCACTGCCTCCAACGACCTGAGACAGCAATAGAAATAAAGCTACCCAGGAAGGCCTCACACCACCATCAGCCTTCAAGAGAACTCAAACTTCCAACCTTAGGAAGAAACCTTGCCATACTAAAGCACTAAGCAGAGCTAATGACTCAAGTCACCACCACCTTAAGGCAACGGCACCTCACAGTGATGTTCTGAGTCACAGTGTACACCGTAAGTTGCCATTTAGCCTGCTGTTGATCAAAGTGTACACTATCAGATGAAATGCTCAGTGATGCCGGGCAGTGGTAGTGCACGCCTGTAATCCCAGCACTAGGGAGGCAGAGGCAGGCGGATTTCTGAGTTCAAGGCAGCCTGGTCTACAGAGTGAGTTCCAGGACAGCCAGGGCTACACAGAGAAACCCTGTCTCGAAAAACAAAAAACAAAAGAATGCTCAGTGAAAAAGAGTTTTACAATCACAGACAATTACTGTGTACACATTTTAGTTCAGGAGTTTAAAGTAACCTTCTACCCGTTAACTACCTTCATTTCAATCTAAACCCAACCATGTACAGATAATTTAATCCCTAAAGCAATTTTAATTGTGTTGCCCACTTGATGACTTAACTCTCTTGTTCCTGACATGGGGGTAGGACCTTCATTACATTCAGTATGACATTAGAATCAGATCCAGACCCGACCCAAAGGGGTCTTATTAGAGCTTATTATACTGGCATGTTCTCATTTCCTTTCTGGTGATTTAGTATCATTTAATTACTAAATGCAAACTCTACCAAGGTGAAAATTTCAGTTGGCTTATTTAGATTCAACAGTTAATTCAGAAAAAGTGAATTACCTTCCCAATCCTGCAACACAATGCACTGCAACACAGCAGCCTGGCTCTTCACGAAATTTGGTTTTTAACAGGTTTAGCCAATCATCTACTATCTGATTAGGGGGTGGAGCTCCATCATCAAATGGCCAATCCTGAAAAGAAATGAGTTCTTACATGAAGCTGCTATGTTCTCAGGGACTAACGTCCAAATAAAAAAACAGCCAAAAATAGCCAGAGCCAACAAGCTCAGCTGAACATATCACCTAACTTACCCCGCTCCCAGACGGGGAGACCCACCTGCTCATTTCCCAAGTGCTCGAATTAAAGGTGTGAGCCACCACCAACCAGATACTTTGTGTGTGTGTGTGTGTGTGTGTGTATGTGTAAGACAGTGTTTCTCTGTGTATCCCTGGACATCCTGGAACTCACTCTGTAGACCAGGCTGGCCTTGAACTAAGAGATTCTACTGCCTCTGCTGGGAAAAAAGGTGTGTGCCAACTCATACATCTATTCTTAACAAAATCCTGATCACTACTGAAAAACTGTCCAAGACCAAAATCTGAATCTGTCAAGTAAGTCTTCTCAAATGAAATATTATTAAATGTCACACCTGTCTAAAGACAGATAGACGCACACACACAAATATTTTGAACTGAGCCTAGGGACTTATAAATACTAGGCAAGTATTCTACCAATGGCCACATTCTGCTAGCCCTATCTTAACCAAAAATCTGTGTGTCACAGACCTAACTCTTGTATGGTCAGAATAGCAGCTAGACATACTAGAGAAAACTCTGAAAGCTGAGACCAAGCAAGAAGGGTCACTGCTGTCGTGCTTTCAGCCCCCCAGTACCACATGCCAGATGAGACTCACTGGTCTCTTCTTCACTAGTGCATTTGAGCGTTATTCCTCTTGGCTACTGTGGTGGTTTGAGTAGGAATGGCAACCATAGATTCATGTGTTTGAATGCTTGGCCATAGGGAGTGGCCTTGTTGGAGGAAGTAGGTCACTGTGGAAGCAGGCTTTGAGGTCTTATAAGCTCAAGTCTGATCTGTGCGACATATAGACTCCTCCTGCTACCTGCAGATTAAGAGGTAGCACTCAGGTCCTTCTCCAGCACCATGCCTGCCTGCACAATGCCATGCTTCTGCAATGTCAATAACAGACTAAATCTCTAAACCTGTAAGCCGGCTCCCAAGTAAATGTTGTCCTTTATAAGAGCTGCCGTGGTCATGGTGTCTGTTCACAGAAATAAAAACTCTAAGACAGCTATCATATCTTTTCTCTAAAGAAAAGCTTTCTAGCAGGTTGTTGTAGAGCACACGGTAATTCCAGCATTTGGGAAATAGTGGCACTCTGTAAGTTCCAGGCCAGCCTGTTCTACAAAGCAAGTTCTAGGCCAGCCAAAGCTACACAGAGAAACCCTGTCTCAAGAAACAAAATCAAAATCAAAAACAAAAACTGGGCAAGCTAGATGGCTTCACTGAATAAAAGTGCTTGCCACACAAGCCTGGTGGACCAAGTTGAATCCCTGGTGTCCAAATTAATGTACAGGAGACAACTGAACAACTGGTCCCACAAAGGGCTCTTCTGACTTCCACACAGGTTCACAATAACGAAAAAAGAAAATGTTATTAAAAAACTTAAAACAGCCGGGCGGTGGTGGTGCACGCCTTTAATCCCAGCACTTGGGAGGCAGAGGCAGGCGGGTTTCTGAGTTTGAGGCCAGCCTGGTCTACAGAGTGAGTTCCAGGACAGCCAGGGCTACACAGAGAAACCCTGTCTCAAAAAAACAAAACAAAAAACAACCAACCAAACAACCAAACAAAAACTTAAAACAATAACTGCCTCAGTGTTTAAGAGCACTTTACTGTGAGTCACGCAGTGGTGCACACCTTTAATCCCCGCTCTCTGGACACCTACAATCAATCAATCAATCTACACACACACACATACACACACACACACACACACACACACACACACACAATTAAAATAATCTCTAAGCTGGAGACATAGCTTAGTTGGGAGAGTGTTTTCCTAGCCCTGGGTTCAATTCTCTGAAACTGCATAAACCAAACACAGCAGCACATACCTGAAACCCTAGCACTGGGAGGCAGAGGAAGGAGAATCAATTCAAAGTCACCCTCAGCTACACAGTGAGTTTGAGGCATGCCTAGAAACACAAGACTGCTTCAAACAGTAAAGTCACAGGGCTACATTCTAAATATCATCTTACTAACAGGAATTCCAGCCCATGGACCAGTCTTTTAGAATAGGAATCCAAGCCAAATGTTACAATGGCAAGTAGTAAAACAATCTTTTAAAAACAATGTTGGCCTTGTCTCGAAAAACCAAAAAAACAACCAATGTTGGTGGCAGTTTTTATGTTTTTACTAAAACAAAAATGAGAAACCTATGGATCACGGACATGAAATGACTACCCACCTTACCAACAAGAAAATTTACCCACATAACTGCCTTCTAAGCCACTGACCAGGTGGGCACCTGACTGAGATCACTGAACTACCTATTGCTTTCTTCCCAGTTAATCACATAATCTTCCTACTACATTGTCCTCACAAAGTCACAAAAGATCTTATAGCACAGAAGACTGTAAGATCATTTCATTCCTAAGAGCTACACCTTGTGAGCCAAATTATTCAGGGAAAAAGTAAGAGTTTTAACTAATCCAGTCTCTTCTCTTTTTTGTAAAGAAACAGCAATCAGTATGCTTGTGTTGTATTCAAATTGAACTCAACTAGATGCTGACCAGAGCTCTTCAGAAATCTACCCCAAGTGTTACAAACTTCTGTGCACCAAAGTCCCTTCTCCCAGCCCGTAGCCTTTTCCTGTCTTTTTGTCCTCTACAAATTATCCACAAAATATTAAGTCACTAACAGATTAGTACTTACAAATAAGGCAAAGGATATTTCATATGAAGTATTTCTGATGGAAATTACATTACATTCATTCATATTAGTAGCATAGAAACAAAAGCTAAAAAAAAGCTAAATACTTCATGAACCTCCAAAATATGACAATGTTCATTGTGTGCAGGCACGCTGGAGTCCGAGAACAACCTCAGGTGTTGTGCACTACTCAGCTAGTGTCCACTGCATTTCTGAAGGGGTCTTGAGACAGGGCCTCACTGTTGGAGCCTTGGCTGTTTTGAAACTCACTCCATAGACCAAGATGACCTTGAAATCACAGAGTGCCTCCTCAGCGCTCGAATTAAAGGCATGTGCTGTCATACCCACCCCGTTTTACCCTGAGAGTTTTTGAGACAGGTCTTTTTGCTTGTTTTCTGAGTGTCAATCTCAGGTGCTCAAGCTCTGACATCGAGCACTCCACCGCCTGAGACATGCCCCAGGCTCCAATTTCCACATTTTAGAAATAAGTGTGCACTCAATTTTGCCTTTCACTTGTTGAAAATACACTGCAATTGTAGACTCTGAGGAACAACGGGTGCTGCTGCTCCCGTATTAATCCAAAGAAACTTTAGGAGACTGCTATTAAAACTGTCTTGACAGTGTTTGAAATGTCAGTGTACTCACAGAAACAAAGACAGACACTCAACACTCACTAGAACGTGGATTCCTTCCTTTTCAACTGGAGCTTTATCATATGTAGCATCACAAACTCGAACCAAAGTTGTCACTCCGTATTTCTTAAGTTCCTTTAAAGAAAAACAGTTATCAGGAGACTTGTTTTTGGAATCTGAAACCTGGGTTTTAGAAATGAACTGAAACTAGGCAGTATCCTTCTTAGAGCTCAAAACTGATCTCACTGCATAAGCATGGCAGACACACACTCCTTGTAGAAATAAATACTCATCTTTCAATGGGCAATTTAGTAGCATAGCATAAAAACTTTTTAAAAGTTTCATATATACAATGACCTAGAAATTGTACTCTTGGAACTTCACAGAACACAGGCATCAAAAACAGGACAGCTTACTCAGCATCTTCACCACAGACAGAACAGAACAGTGAAGGGAGAAATGTTGTTTATTAGTGTTCCCTAAAGGGGGACAGCACACACACACACAGTGAATACTACTGATGGCTACAAAGTAACACAAGAGACTGGGGTAATCATTTAAAATATGTGGTATGATTTCAAATATGTTTATTTCTGAATATATACACATGTGGGGGAAAAAATCTAGAAGCCTAAGGTATGTAACGATTGATTGTTTTTAATTTGTTATTTTGCTTTTGTTGTCTATTTTCTTTTTTTTTTTCTTCTTTTGCTTTTTTGAGACAGGGTTTCTCTGTGTAGCCCTGGCTGTTCTGGAACTCACTCTGTAGACCAGGCTGGTCTCGAACTCAGAAATCCGCCTGTCTCTGCCTCCCAAGTGCTGTGATTAAAGGCATGTGCCACCACCACCCGGCTGTTGTCTATTTTCAAGATAGGGTCTTTGTTTAACAGCCCTGCCTATCCTGGAACTTGATTTGTAGACCAGGCTTGCCTTGAACTTACAGAGATCCACCTGCCTGTCCCTGATTCCCAATTGTCGGGTTAACACCTAGCTTTTATTTCTGTCTTTCTGTATTCTCACCACCACCATTCCCAACCCCTCAAAGTACTTCTTTCTGTGGCCTTGGCTATCCTGGAACTAGTTCTGTAGATCAGGCTGGCCTGGAATTCACAAGATTGGGCTCTGCCTCCCCAGTGCTGGGATTAAAGGTGTATGCCACCACTGGCTGGCTTTTTAAATTTTTGTGCAGTAATCATCTACTGCTTTTCTAAAGAGCAAAAGTTTTAATTTTGAAATTAGGAAGAAAATGTAATTTTAAAAGAGCTAGCACACAATTATAACCAGTTACTCCTTTAAACAGTTAATATAAGCCAGGAACGGCTCTCCAGAGACAAGGGTAGGCAGATCTCTGGATCTGGATCCTGTTTGAGGGCAGACGGGAACATAGTGAGACCCTGTCTAAAACGTAATTATTTACATTTGTTCATTTTTGTGTCTGTGCTTGTGAACAATATTCACATTTCAGTTCTCTCCTTCCAGCACCTGGGTTTAGGGGTTGCACTTACTATGTCATCAGGTTTGGTGGTGAGGGCCTCTACCCACTGACCCATCTCACCCGCTCCCAGCTGGGAATTTAAAATGAATGTTTTAGTGGCAGAGACCTGTCCTCTCTGCGACTTAGATGCTAAGCAGAGGGAGCACAAGGACCACCTGAGCTACACAACTAACTTAAGGCCAGGCTTGGAAATTTATTGAGTGCTTCTGTCGACACAGAAGGGCTGGGGACACAGTTCATGGCACTGTGCTTCTTGGCATGCATGAGGCCCTGGGCTCCATTTCCAGTGCCACTCAAGTTTAAGACTTCAAAATTATGTGCTGAGGATGCTGGTAACTCAGTAGTAAAGTCCATGCAAGCCTGCACAGTGCCCTGGGTTCAGTCCCCAGCACCACAAAAACGAGGGTGGTGTGTGTGTGTGTGTGTGTGTGTGTGTGTGTTGGGGGGGTGTTAAAATGAGTTTCATGGTTATCCCTCATCAGAAAACTATTACAATTTTTTATGGTAAAACTATTTGGCCTCAGCTTTGCAACCCATAAATCAAGAGTCTCTGGATGATTGATCCTCCAGCTGCTGCTCTCTCTCCTCCATAAAATATCAACAGAATTCACATTTGATGGCACAACCTATAAAAGATTAAACACTTTACATTTAAATATCCCCTAAGAGTAAAGACTATCTTCATGACCTAAAGGGGAGGAGATGAGGCTCCATGTTTTACTACTCATGACCACTTCCTTCCCCAAGATTCTGGATTCCTATAGTTGTGATAACTACTGTTACTAAGTAGTTTGTGGTTGAAGTATAACATAAGCCTATTTTTTTAGTGCAAATGGGACACACCTGCTATGGCAGTGTGCAGAGAGAGGTCAGAGGACAACTTAGGGGAAGCAATTCTCAATACTCCCAAGGGTAGAACTCAGGTTGTCACACATGACAACAAGCTCCCTTACTCACCTCTCTTGCCCACTCTTTAACATGTGTCCTAGTATGCATGGCAGGCTTAAAGTGCTAGTACTACCAAATACAATGATGAGCCTTTGGGCAAATGACTCAACAGCTTGAAGCTGAGTGCTATTACCTCTAGGAGGGAGAAAACAATAAATAGGACCTGTCGTCTTATATTTGTACCTTGACCTTTAAAACAAACAGTATTCAGGGCTTACTGCAATGCTGGGTACATACTGTGGTCAATAAATGTTGAGTTTTTGACTGAAAATGACAAAAAGTAACACTAATAAACACAGAAACAACACGCAATTAGAAGTACTAGGTAATCTAGAGAATCCTCAAATTCCATATTCTTTCAAAAATTCTATTCTAACAATTCAACCCAATGTAAACTATGAAAGGATAAACATTCATAGTCAAGAAAAAAAAAAAAAAATCAAGCCCCAAAGTAGACTTTGCTACAATCTTACCTCTGTGAACTTGTTGAGAGTCGCATTGGTGGGGTTGTGAGTTATCAGAAAACGCATGTTCTCATAAGAGATCTCCACAGGGGCTGGACGGTTCATTATGGCAAATAAAAAGTGTGAGCGTGCGTGTGTGAGTGTGGTGGGAAAAATGGGGAGAGGAGGAAATCAATAAATCTTGAAATGTTTCGCAGCAGAAAACATTAAAAAGACCACTAAAATGCCTATTATTGATCACTATTTTCTCTATTCAACTTGCTTATTCCTTATGAAGCTTCTCTCTTCAACACAGGCAGAAGTATTAAGAATCCACTTGAATCCAAATTCAACTTGGGCCTCAATGTCTGCAGATGGATACCTTCAGCTTCCAAAAAAATCCAACTACATACAACCTTTAAGCAGCCTTTATACTACATTTAGGCACTAGTGAGACAAGTTAAAAAGTGTAGGTTCTTCTCCACTTTTGTTTACTTGATGCTTAATTTTACTGGAGTCATTAAAAGAATATGCTTGCAATTAAAAAAAAAAAAAAAAAAAAAGCCTACTACTTCTGAGGCCAGTCTCGGTGTCCAGAGTCTTCAAGGCAATGTTAATTATGGCACATATAACCCCCAAGCTCACTTGTCAGCGAAAAGGCTGTGCTGAGCCTGGCAGAAGTCTGCCCTCACGCTCAGAATCGCCATAAATGTGCAACGTATATTCCAACGAAAAACCTGGGGAAAAAACACAGGTAAAATGAAGTGAATAACAGAATGGAATAAACATGAAACCTTCAGAAACAATAGATTCTCTAAGAGATCAAGATAGGTAAAATGCAACAAATGCTAATTATTGACACCTATAAAGATCTGGATAAGGGGACATATATATATACACAAGATCTTAAACACCAGTCGTATAATCATGTTTAACTCATTTTTCATTGTTTGAGACCTTAAAAATTCATTCAATTAAGGGTACTTGAAGAAAATTTCCTTCCATGGACTCTTCTTTAACTCTTCAGTTCACAAAACTACTATATTTTTCTGCTTTTGATGACTCGTTCTTTCACATGTATTCTGTTTAAAATGGGGTATTCATTTGTAAATAGGCTGAGGATAATTAACAAAATTTTACTTCAAAAAATTAATTTTATTAAAATATTATAAACTGACTCCCCAATTATGATATTAATCCATTAAGCAGTCAAATCTTAAGTCTGGAGATACAGTTCAGTTGGTAGGATGCTTGCCTCGTTTGATCATTACAAGCCTCGTTTGATCAGCAGCATCTCATACTGGGTATGTGGTACATACTCAAAAATTGAAGGTCATTCTTTGCTACATAATAAGCTTAGAGCAAGCCTGGTCTACATGCAGACACACACACAAGAGCTAATAAGCGAAAGGATTTGCCTCAAGTTACATAGTGAATTAATAGGCCACATGGTTTTTGTTTTTAATGTAAACCCGCTGTCTACAGACTTGGATCATGCACACACCCATCCTCTGGCTTCTGGTCTCGATTTTCCTATTTGCCACATCACCACATCAAGAGTACAAAATCAGCCAGGTATGGCTGTAATCTCAGCACTCGGGATGCTGAGACAGGGAAATGACAATTCTTAGGCCAACTTTGTCTACACGGCTATACAGTGAGATGGATCCTCTATCAAAAGTAATTTAAGAGATTTTTTCCCAAAAAATTTGGACTTGGTGGCATATACCTTTAATCTCAGCTCTTGAGAAGCAGACGGAGTTCTGTATGTTTGAGGCCACCTTAGTCTACACAGGGAATTCTAGGCCAGCCAGGGCTACATAGTTAAGGCCCTGTCTAACAAATATAGTCAGTAATTTTAGAGCTAGAAAGATGACTTTGTGGTTGAGAGAGTAATCTGCTCTTGCAAAGGACTTCAAATTTCCCACATCCACACCTCCCTATGACTTCAGCTCCAGAGATCCAAAACTTCTGGCTTCTAAGGGTGCCTGCACCCATGTGTGCAGTGTCAGCATACATCTACACAGTCAGTCAAAAGTAATAATAAAAGTAAACCTTTTAAAAAAATTCTCTTGTTTCTCTTAAATATTGTTTTGTATATGGGTAATTTTTGCCTGAATTATCTCTATACATCATGTCCAGCACTGCCACATCTCTCCAGCACTAATTACAAAAAAAACACCTTAAGAGAAAAAGAAATAGGAACAACTCTGGAAGCTAGAGAAAGATTCAGTATTAAGAATACTTGTCACTTTTGCAAAAGCCTTGGGTTTGGTACCCAGAATCCACATGACAGTTAACAACTGTCTGTAGCTCCAGTTCCAAACAACCCAACACCCTCTTCTGACCTATGAGGCTTCTGCTTGCATGTGGGGCACACCCTACAAAAAAAGCTGGGTGGCATTGGCGGGCAGATCTCTTGAGTTTGAGGCCAGCCTAGTCTACAGAGTGAGTTACAGGACAGCCAGAGAGAAAAACAAAAAAGTAGGAGCTATTTGAAGGTGATTCCCACAGCATTCTCTCCAAATATTACTGTAACAACACTAGTCAGAGAAGTAGTAGCTTCTATGGTATCAGTTTAGGCCTGGTGCTTTCAAACAATTTAATGTTTCATTACAAACTGGCTCAGTCAAATGGTGTCTATATAACCCAAAGTGCCTCTGAGAATAGGGAAATGGTCTATAAGTCACCAATAACCAAACACTTATTTGAAGTTTCAGGGCTAAAAATATAGCCCATAAAAAAAAAAAAAAATATAGCCCATGCTTGCCTAACATACATAAGACCCTGGGTTTGATACCCCAACATTGCAAAAATTAAAATAATAATTTAAAAGGCTTGGTACACTGGTACACCAGCACACACCTATAAATCCCAGCACTTGGGAAACAGAAGCAGAAGAGTCCAAGTTCCAGGCCAAACCAGGGCTACATTGTCTCAAAAACCATATTAAATTATTATTATTTATAACAATAAAAACATTTGTGCTGGCTGTACTTCAGTAATAGAGGGCTTGCCCAGCAGGCACAGGCCTCAGGTTCCATCCCAAGTACTGAAAAGAAAAATAAAGGCTCTATGTGAGCAGACAGAAAAAATTATCAAAGATAAGTCATTTGGGTTAGAAAGTGAAATACAGAGACCCCGGGCCTACAAACTTCCAAACATCATCTAGCCTCACTTCTTTTTTCCTTATAGATATTTTATAAACGGCATATTTGATATTATCATGGACACAAAACTAAAATATTCCTAAAATATGACCCAGTCCTGGAGGTGGCTTTAGAACCAGCACACAGGAGGCAGAGGCAACCAGATTTCTGAGAGTTCATTCAAGGCCAGCCTGCTCTCAAATTCCTAGCCAGCCAGGGGTACAGAATGAAGTCCTGTCTCCAAAAAACAAAAAAAAAGGGGGGGGGGAGCCTGCATCAGTAGTGGTGCATGCCTTTAATCGCAGCACTTGGGAGGCAAAGGCGGGTAGATCTCTTGAGTTTGAGGGCAGCCTGATCTACAGAGACTACAGAGTTCCAGAACAGCCAGGGCTACACAATGAAACTGGGAGTGAGAGGTGTATAATCACAAGCTCAAGGGCATCCTTGGACACATAGAAACTTGAAACCAGCCTAGGCTACATATAGATCTCTGTAAATCCAGCCAGGTCTATATAGCAAGTTCCAGGACAACCAGGGCTACATAGAGGCCCTGTCCAAATTATGACTACCTGTGTAACTCTCAATTGTAACTGCAACCTCAAACACAGGAACCTGAGTTACACAAGACATTTTAGAGAACACTGTGGGACAGTCACAGAGCTTTAGAGCTAGGAGAAATGCAAAGATAAACTATTCTGACCTTTTAAAAATGAAAAGATCTTGTTCAAGTAGGTAAAATTGTTTTTAAGCCAACATTATTCAAAAAAAAAAAAGCCAACATTATTCAAAAAAAAAAAGCCAACACTATTAACTAAACAAGTCACGGACAAGAGCTAGATCTCCTGACTCTTTGGTTACTTTTTTCTTTCACTTTTGGATGTGCCCACGTCCACACACTCGTCAGGTCTCACTCTCTTTGCATGCACGTCTAACTTTTCAAGGAACTGCAACTGATGACTTCTATGAGGAAGGAGTATTTAAAAAGCTACTCAAAAACAATGGCTTGCATACAGAGCACAGGAAAACACAAGGAAACTCTAACCTGCATTTGGATCTTCTGGTTCAAGCTTATCACAGCTCATGTGCATCAGATGAGCAGAGGCACTAAAAGGACTGCATTGTAGTGGCAGCCAGGCTTAAAAGCTTAACAGTCCTAGCATTAAATTTTCTACCTAGTCTCTCCAGTGTTTGTCTGTTGAGCAAACAAAAAAAGCTTTATACCATCTTATTCCTCCCAGTTCACTCTGGAAGAACCATTTCTAGGGATAACGATAACTTTTTATTAGATTTTCAATTCTTAATACTGAAGAACTCCAACAACAGAATTTCTGCCAAAAGAAACACCATGTTCTATCAAAACTAACAGACACATGATAAAAGCAAGTTTTTGTCCCACCCCTTCTCCTAAGAGTCCAACTACACATCGATAGTACAAGTTCTGCACCTGTCACTTCAGCTGAACTAATGTTAACTAGAGTTGACACTTAACTCAAAGCAAACCTGTTTTAAAAACAAATCAGAATCTCCACCATAACCTACCACATCTAGAATGCTCAAAAGTTGTAGAGTTACAGCATAAGTATTGCACTTATGTCCGATACAGGTGAAATTTTTTTCTAAACTTCTGTCTAGTATTAATTCTGGTCTACTTACTTAAAAAAGGAAAAATCATTATTGACCTGGGAAAGCAGCTCAGTGGGAGAATACATTCTTGGCAAACCCAAAACCCAGCACTTGACTTTTAAAAGCAGAGTCATATTTGGTAGCTCAGGAGGTGGAGGCAGAAGGCCTCAAAGCCTCCAGGCATCCTCACCTAGAGAGGGAGTTCAAGACCCTATGTCAAAAAACTTACCAGCAACATGATACATTATATTTGACAAAGAACAGCAAATTATTACACAAAAAAATATTCTACCTTTTATAGAGCCTAATTTTGGAAAGGTTACGTTTGGGGGGATAAAGAAATGGCTCCGTGGCTAAGAGTGTTTGCTTCTCTTTCAGAAGACTATCATTCAGTTCCCAGCATGTGACACAGTCACAACACAGCAGCACCTCTCACTCGCACGTACCTCCACAGACAAATACACACATTAAAAAAAGTTATGTTAAATACATTTCTGTTTTTATGTAGTATTTTAATTTCAGCAAGAGTGTTTTCACAGAATTGAAAAGCACGGCCTGTGACAGAAACTCCTCTAATCTAACGAGACTAGACAGAAAGGACAGAGAGCAGAGGGAAAAGATGTAGGGGTTTCGAAAATCAGGCAAGCAAGCAGAGTCCTAACTAGCTGAGACGGTGCACTAACAGTCAATGGCACACAGATGACATAAAACTCCGAGGGCAGGGGGCTGGAGAGATGGCACAGTGGATAAAAGGACATTCTGCTTTTCCAGATCTGTAC